GAGAGAGAGAGAGAGAGAGAGAGAGAGAGAGAGAGAGAGAGAGAGAGAGAGAGTGAAAGAGAGAGGAAGAGAGAGAAAGAAAGAGAGAAAAGAAAAGGGGTTAGAGTAGCGAGGTGAAGCGTGCACATACAGTCAAGTTCAACGACCCGTTCGAATTAGCTCGCGCGAGCGAGCGGAAGGTCGGCCCAAGGACGGTGTTCAAAAGGAGTCGCCGGAAAGAGAGATAGCGAGAGAGTGAGAAGAAGAGAGGTGAAGCAGAGAAAAAGAGGTATATATATGTCTACATACATATATGTACATATAGATATACATATGTAAAAAGCGAGGATAACGCGTTTATGGGTGAATGTGAGAACACGGAAGCAAAGCGAGCGCGAATGGCCGAAACTACGAGCAGGGTGCACCGGGTTACGGCGATCCATCGCTTGGGTGAGGTCGATCCTAAGGCGCCGGTATCCGGTAGTTGGTGATGGGGGGTTTAGGCGAGGATGCCTTCTCCCTGTCTTCTCTGTCGTCATCATCACCGTCGTCGTCGTCACCGCTACGCGCCGTCATCCCCTACGTGTCGTCGAGCCGTTCCCCAACGAGTCGTCCTATCCCCAGTGGCCGTCGTCGTCGTCGTCGTGGTATCTCCCGCAGCCCCTTGGCATCGTCGCCGAGCCGCAGCCGGTCGCAGACAGAGAGGCGAGCCAGAGGAAGCAGTCCCGTTAACGGCCGGCAAGCGAGGATCGTCACCTACGCAGGAGAAGACGTCCTGCTCGTCGACGTCGGATGCGTCAGTGGTAACGGCTGCGTCAACGACGTCGCCGTGGTCGACGGGGTGCCCGATAGAGAGCAGCGGCGAGAAAGGAGGAAGACGAAGAAGAAGGTGCAGGAGCACGCGGGTAGAACACCACCACCTCAGCCGGTATCGCGTCAGGAGAAGGAAAGCAAGGAGCACGCCAGCGGGAGGAGGTGGTGGAGGAGGTGGTGGGGGCGAACGAGGTGACTCGCGTCCGTCGAGATGCACCAGGTGCCGTACAGAACGGGACGCACCTCGAGCGAAGGCCGAAACGATAGCTTCTGGGAGCAGTCCGTGTGCAGCAGAGTGCTGCAGCCGCAATCGCAGCCGCAGCCGAGATCTCGCGGTCGTGCCCGTGCTCGCGCTCGCGCCCGTGCTCGCGCTCGCGCTCGCGCTCGCGCCCGTGCCCGTGTTCGCGCTCGTGCACGCGCTCGCGATCGCGCGCGAACGCGCCGATCGTCGTCGGCCGATCATCGGCGAGTACGGCTCGTCGTGGCTGGCTACGACGAGCGTCGCAAGTCCCCGCAGTGTCTGGGCCCGGTACGCGCCCTCTCCAGCGGCTACGGCGGTGCTCCGTCGTTGTTGCCGTCCAATTTGCTCCTCATAGGCCTGGCGCTCTGTTGTCTGGCTCTACCGGCGGTGCAGCCGCGTCTCAATCATCATCAGACGTGTCCCGGCTGCCCGCATCAGCAGCAGCCGCAGCATCAACAGCACCAGCAACAACAGCATCATCATCACCATCAACAACAGCATCATCATCAACAGCAGCAGCACCAGCAGCACCATCATCATCACGTGCACGAGGGCGCGCGGGGTGGTATTTTCAAAGACACCACCACTGCCGCGCCCAGTCCAGACGATATCAGGCTGGAGGCGATCAAGCATCAGATCCTGACGAAACTCGGACTAAGGTCTCGCCCGGATGTCAACAGGACGTTAGCCACAGTGCCACGGCACTTGGCATTGGAGACCCTTTACCGGGCGGAGGCGCAAACGCCGTCGCGTTACTTCGACCGGTCGAGGGTCGATTACGAGAGTGAGTATCCGGGCGAGTTCCTTTACGCCGGCGACGAGTATTCGTACAGGAACCTCGATCAACGGCCGGAGGAGGCCACCACGACGGAGGGTAACGCCAGGTCTACCTCCAGATCCCATCAGGGATATGACGATGTCCAGGAGGAGCTCGACGACTTCTACGCGAGGACCTCGGAGATTATCACCTTCGCTGAGCCCGGTAAGTGCTACATTCTTTCTAATTCATGTCCCGCCGAATCTCTTCGCAAACGGCTCATAAGCGCGCGCGTCAATCTCCCTGTCTGTCGCGACAGCCTCGTCGACGAGAGGTGCAGAAACTCGACAAGGAGTGTCTCGAAGGAACGCGTGGCTGACACGTGACTGTGCGCATGTCATCGACGTATCATTTCATTTTCTTGCGGAATATTTCCCAAGAAGCTCTACTTGGGCGATACAAACATTTAAACAGCCTTCCGTCTGAAAGACCTGCCAGCGATTTCCGATAGAATCGGCAGTTTGACAATTCTTCGTTTGTTGACACTAAGATCTTTTCGAGAGAGTTTACACTTATTTGCACAAGTCGAAATTTTAGTCCTACTTTCGACCTGAACTTTCCAACATCTGTATATCTTGCAGGAGTAGTGTGTGTTTAATACACATGGAAATTGAAGTCTCCTACTTCTTGGCAAAGCTAGTAGGTTGAACAGGATCAAAAGAGGTTGATATTAGCTTTAAAGTATCAAAGTAGGCGTTAAGTGGAACGTTAAGGTCGAAAATCGGATCGAAATTTGGACTCGATTAAGCTTGTGTGACGAAAATAACGCACACTCGCGACGATGTGAGCGCGAAAATCGACGTGAGACACGTTTCGCCGTGTTTCAAGACATAGAAAATGATTCGGTGATTACCTCTTCATCTACGCGTGTCTCGCACACACGAGTGACAGCGCGCGATTTCACTTCGAAAGAGAAACTTCGCGAACAATTCCTACGCGACGTCATGGTCGATATCGAATAATCAAGATTTAACGAATTCGCGTGGACGTCCTTGCCGCGGTGCGGCGCGTCGCGTGATTTTCAATGCAATCTCCGTGTAAAGCTCGCTTCTAGGAAAAACACTGTCCAACACTCTGGTCGTTACGAGGAGGTGTTGGTGGCACGGGTGGAATCCTTGAAAAAGTTGCGAAGACATCCGCGTTGCGGAAACCCTGACGCAAGTCACACAGGTCAGAACTTACACAACTCGGTCAACTTTTCTTGATAAGTCGCAGGCTTTCCAATCAAAACAGTCCACCTATGTAAAAAAGAAATTATTGCACGTCGGATAAGAGGCGTTGTCCAGCCTATAGTGATATAAACGATCAATTATTTGTTGGTAGAGGCGTGATCGTTCGCTGTTGCGGCATGCCGCGCGCATTACATCGCGCTCGCGGCGTCTTGAAATCCGATAATGCAGCGTCTAATAATTGATAACGCTTCAAAACTCGACGGTGATGCCGCAATCGCAGAGACAACAGCCGACCGCAAGGTCTGACCGATCTAACGACGATCGATGGCGATTCGGAGAGAGCGTTCGCGAATTATGAAAGTCGAAGGCCAACGGATCGACGTCGCGATTCTGCGTTCTTCTTTTTTGTCGTTTAATATCGCCTTCCCCATCCCCGCCATCTCCCCTGCTGGGAAAACTGCTGGATTGAGGAATTCGTTCGCTCGATGCCAAATCGAGTGCGAGGAGAATTTACTGATTCCACGTCTGATTGGATGACCCAGTCACTCGACGAAAGTTTCCCCCGAAACTTTTTCCCGAGCGTCTCGATACGCCTTATAACGAGGATATCGATATAGACGGAAAAATATAGTTAACGCCCGTTCCGCCGTCCGTTTATCGATCGGCGCCCAACGATCATCCCCCGAATTGGGGATGGCCATCGTGAGGAGATTCGCTTCGCCAGCTTTCGCAGTCCTTTGTTTACGATCCTATGATCGATGCTTGTTACGGCCTCCGTGTCATGCAGTGCTCATGAGCGTAACGTCCTCTAGTGAGGCGATATTGTTTTGCAAAGTGGCACGCTGATGTGTTAATCGCAGATTCGTTTCCTCGCTTTGCATGCGAGCGCATGTGCGATTGTCTATAAAACAGCGAGTTTGCCGAAAGTGTTTCAGGCATAGAGTCTCCTCCAAGTTGGAAAACTTAGAACAATTTACTCTTTCATAGGGATATCGAGTTATTTGAAAAATTCAACCTAATATTAGTATAATTGTCTGTAAAACATCAAAATATATTTCAGACGCTCTCCCCACTAAGCTGGAAAATTTAGAGCAATTTTTTTTTATGGGAAATAGCAATTTTTTTATAAGAATACGTCGAAAGTCATTGTTTATAGTTCGCGAGATGTTTAGAAGATGAAACGCAATACTAGAATGTTCAGTACAAATGGGAAAAAATTTTTGCAAACTATATTTTGTCATCAATTTAATGAACTGAATGATGTCACATACACGATAACAGCGACTACGCGAATGGAACTGACATAGCGGTCGTTATTTGCGATAAGCTTGGTTTCCGATAACAGGACGACTTCCGCGAAACGCCAAACAACACGTCGCATGCACGGCACATACATATATACGTACACAGACATAATGCAATAACCGGGGTGTATACAACGCGACTTGGGGGTTAATCTATCCGCGCGTATTACGTTACTTCTCCGGTAATGACACGTAGGGGGTATGTTTTATTGCAATTTCATTCGATATGACGTAACCCGTGTCGCGCCTGTTCAGCTTGCCACTCGCGTTCGCAGGGATCACGTCGCTGAGAGTTCGCGCGCACGCAAACCTCCAGCTCGTCGATACACACCGGGACCGTAACGGTACCGGCATGATAAACAATCAACAAGAAAGCATCCCCGGGAGAAGCAGCAGCTTCTCAGGCGACGGATCCGACGAGATTGACGTTGATCGCGGCGGGTCGCGCTCGTCGATAATTCGAGCCGTTTACCGGCAACAAAAGGGGTAGCCAACGAGGGGTGACTCATCGCGAAATTTCGAACGGCGTGTCACACTTACAACTTCCGTCACGACTCCTCTACATTATTCACTATAACATCATTATAGTTTCGCTGCCGTAGTTTCGCCTAGTTTGGCTGGGCTGGAGTCGCGACTGCACAATTCGCGCGTGTAATTGCGCGAGTGAAAATCGCACAATCGTGCGAATCAGCCGTTCCCCGGCCATGCAGCCGTCTCTTTTTTTAGACAGTTCCGACGACTTCCGTGGCCGAGAGTCAAAGAAGATCAGCGCGATCAGGGCGAAATCACGTCGCCGTCTCGCGTTGAGCGAAATTTCGCGCAGGGGATCGACGAAAGACGGCACGTCCGGCGCTCACCGTTCGTCGTTCGAGCTGCTTGAACGAGCTGCTCGCACGCGTTTGCGGCCACACACGTGCGGCCACGTGGCCCGCGTTGCAGCCGCGGCGAGTGTTGCGACAACAGTGCGCGGGGTCTATAGTTCACTCCGTAGTTCACAGTAACTCTAAGTTTAACAATAAGGGTAATAGAACCACAAGGTAGAAACGGTAATGTTACCGACTCGTTGTGGCCCGCGAGCGAGCGAGGGTGAGCGCGCGCGCTCGCGCTCGCTCCCGCGTGCGGCGCTTGTACCTTCGCCACCATTAAATTAACGAGCCTGACTGAATCGACGCGTTGCGTCAGCGAACGCGATTTAACACCGTCGCCTCGCTTCAGCCTCTTTTCTCCTCTCGCACGTAGGCCCGTACCACGCGACGACGTCCTGAGACACGTGTCGCATGCGAGACGATTGCCCCGCACCGTGGTACCGGAGCGATCTTCGTGGTGTCTCTCTAGGTGGTCTCTCATATCGATCTAGAATCGGTAGTGTTCGCCAGTCTTGTCACGATTGTACCAGACTCGTTACAATTAATGATTCGTTACGGCGTTTTTGGGCTCTTACGACCAGCATGTCACGTTCTTCGTGTATCCGTGATTAGATTTGCGACTGCCAGCAATCTATTACATTACGGTTCGATACTCAGCACAAGTGATTTCTTTGTTTTTTTTTCTGGCGACACTGGCCGCACACGGGATGTCGATGTTCCATTTTGGAAACAGCCAGTTCCAAATGCGGAAGCGTCTAACGACGAAATGACCTAGAAATCAACGCAGCCAGGAATAGAAATCTGCAGCGAGCGCGGTTGTCCGCAGAAACGATTGTCGGAGGAAGTTGGAAGCGGTTACGTCATTCCCCACGTGGATCACGGGGCAAAGAATGTATTACGTCGACGGAGAGGAGGATAGAGAGAGAGAGAGGGAGAGAGAGAGAGAGGGAGAAAGAATAAGAGAGAGTGGTAATTTGGCTTAATTAGGTTTTAGCGCAATGTCTATCGGAACTCGGGTAAACGTTCGCGATCGATTTGCGCGAGCCGCGCCGAGACGGAGTCGCGAACTTTCGCACAACGCGCGCTATCGACACTCTCTTTCTCTCTCTCTCTCTCTCTCTCTCTCTCTCTCTCTCTCTCTCTCTCTCTCTCTCTCTTTTTCTTTCTCTCTTAGGATCCAGCGCGTTGTTCCGGCGCGGACGCTCCCGCGAACGATCCGCGGAACGAGCAAAATCGCCGTAGAAGTCATGACGCGGCCCGACCCCCGGTGCACCCCTCGCGAATCGCGACCGGGCGATCTTCCGGCCGCTTTTCCGGCGATTTTTCCGGACACGTCGCGCAACGAGCAAGCCCGATAATGCGCCACATGTGATACTTTAACGTTAATGTCGCCGTCACTATACATAGCCGATGAACACGTCATTCTTTTTGAAGAAACTAAAGAAACTATAAACGACCATTGGACTCGGCCCGGCATCGACCCGGCCGGGAGGGTGGTCGGCGACGTGCGGGAGAGGACGAGTCGGGGGAAAGTTTGTGTTCCACATTTTTTGTCTACGTGGAGCACGCGCAAAAAAAAATGCCGACGCGAGCCCGGACGACAATGCGGCTTGCCACTTTGTCGTGGCGCGCTGTGTCTGTGTGTGCGTGCGCGAGCGCGCGCGTGTGTGCGTGCGTTTGTATATATATATATATATATATATATATATATATATATATATATATATATATATGTGTGTGTGTGTCTTTGTAGTCACACGAGCGGCGTGGCCGCAGAGAATACCCTCCTCTACTCCTCGCCGGCGAATCGATACGTTCCCCGG